CTCTCCCGGTGCTTACATTCCCATCAACATGAAAATTGAGGGGGCAGCGCATCCCTTTCCTTTCCCCATCAAAGAAAGGCTGCCTTCCTATCCGCGTACGTTCTTCCCTCTTCCTTCCGAAAAGACTATAAGAGGTAGGGGTAAACAGAATGAAAGAGGAGTCTCCTGTTGCTTTCCGACTACCTTCTCACCACAAAAAGGAACCTTCCCACTCTTCCCTACTTTCTTTCTTTTATCTTTTTGCACTTTACGTTTCCCGCTGAGAAAATGAGACGTTTCCCACTGAGAAAAAGAGACAATGATGACAATAAGGAAAAAAGATCACCTGCCTGTATTTTCAGACCTGTCCGCTGCATCTTTTCCCTTTACATCGCAGATTGAAGGAAAGCAAAAAAAAGGGAAGAATCCCTTTCCCTACCTTTCCCAGTTCATTCCTTGTGCTTTCCATGTTCTTTGGAATTGCTTTGTTCTTCAGCAAGGAAAAGCGCAACTTCCCTCTCAATTTCATGTTTCCATTTCTCCGATGTCTTTTTCATTCAAGAAGCAAGCGGAGGGGCTGCCTCCTGTGTTTCCTTGCCTCTTTCCTCGCTATTCTCTTTTCCTTTCTCTTCTCTCTTGGTGCTTACATTCTTCTCAAAAACGTGAAAGTTGTGGGGGCATCCCTTTCGCTTTCTCTCTTCTGGGGAAATTCCCAATTGCAGGGGGCTCTCTCTCCTTGTCTGTCTTCTTTTCTCATACATAGGGAAAGGAGAAAGAAGATGAAAAACTAGGAAAGAATCATTTCCACACATTCCTCTATTCCTACTGTCCGGAGATTGGCAAGCTTTCGGAAGCTCTGGTCTCTAGTCACGCCTGACCAAAGTCAACTTCCCGTGCGTGAGGGCCATATGTGAGGTGCCAGGAGGGGGGCAGAAAGTCCGGAATATGGTAGTGTTTCGAGTTTCAAATTCGTTTCCATAGTTTCAAATTAGTCTCAAGTCAGTTTCAAACTAGTTTCAAAATCCAGTTGAAATATCGCTGTTAAGGAGGAGCTGCAATTTCTGTCCGCGCTTGTTGAAAACCAGAACCTCTAGAGATTCCTGCATTTTTTGCAATTGCGCGTAGAAAAACGCAGTTTCCCCTTAACAACGAATTCGCAACTGGATTTTGAAACTGTTTTGCAACTAGTCTGAAACTACAGAAGCGAATTTGAAACTTGAAGAACGCAGCATTTCTGCTCCCTGGCGCTTGGCCACGCCCAAGCAAGAGGAGGCTAGAAGCCGCGGCTCGCGAAACCAGCAACAACTCTTGCCAAGGCAGCCACGCAATCACAAGTCAGTAAATTATCTTGTCTGAGACTGTGTCTCTTCTGAGTTGTTCTATTCCTTTCTCTGCATCCTTTCTTCTTCTCACTTGTCCTTTCACTTTTCTTTTGTCTCTTCTCACGCCAACCAAAAGGGAAATCGCAAGGGAGTCATATAGGGAAAGGAGACAACGTGAAGAAATAAGAAAGAATCATTTCCATATTGTCCCCTATTCCTGTCTCTAAATCTGCAGATTTTTCAGAATGGAAGGAGGGCTTCTTTCTCCCTCTCACTTTTCCTTTCGCTTTTCTTTATATTTTCTCACTCCAACCAAGCAGACAAGGGGGAGGGGTGAGAGATAGAACGCCCTTTACCTTCTCAAAACATAGAGAGGTGACGAAAATCAATCACGGAAACCTATCCTGCCTTCCTTCCTCTTTGTCTTTGGTTCGGAAAAGAAAGGAACTCTTTGTCTTTGGTTCGGAAAAGAAAGGAACGGCTACCAGCCTCCCTCCCGACTTACATCTTTACATTCTCTTGTTTCGTCCTGCTCAACCGGAAAGAAGGTCTGCCTCCAGTCTTTCCTCGCCTCCCTGCTCACTATTATGAGTTCCTTTCTCTTCTCTTCTGTTGCTTACATTCTTCTCAAAAGTGTGAAAGGTGCGGGGGACATCCCTTTCACTTTGTCTCTTCTGGGGAAATTCCCAATTGCAGGAGGCTCTCTCTCCTTGTCTTTATTCTGTGTTCATATAGGGAATGAAGATAGAAGATGAACAAATAAAACAGAATCATGTCTATAATGTCCTCTATCCGTGTCTCTTGTGATTTCTTCAATTCCTATCTCTGCAGATTCTTCAAAATGGAAGGCGGACTTCTTCCTCCAACCAAAAGCGACCTTCTCAAAAAGAAGACAAGAGACGAACATCAATCACCGGAACCTGACTCCTAATCTCATGTGTTTCCTTGCCTCTTTCCTCGCTATTCTCTCTTCCTTTCTTCTCTCCCGGTGCTTACATTCCCATCAACATGAAAATTGAGGGGGCAGCGCATCCCTTTCCTTTCCCCATCAAAGAAAGGCTGC